ACCCAACAACTATCTCGACCTCAGTCATTCTCCCACCACCATGATGTCACTTCTCTCTGCCTTTTCTATAAATATTTGCATGGCAACTGTTCTAATGAGTTCTACCTGTTATCTCAACCACCTCTTCTTCCCCACCAAGTTATGGGTTAATTCATAGGACTTGTATTAGTACATCATTATTATCTCAAAAAATTATTTAAATCTAAAAATATTTTCTGCTTTTAAATAGCCTGCAAAAGGTTAATATGCCAGAAGGAAAACAATTCCACTGAAAGATGATCACAGGTTGTTTCATTACAAATATATTCATTTTATTACATTCTTTAAAATCCTTGATGAACCACTCTCCAGTTATTGCCTTACCTGTCCATACAGTAGTAGCAAAAACCTGTTGTACCCATTATCATGATTATGGATGGGAGCCAGTTGAAAGTGCCTCGACAATTTATGGATCATCAAGTATCCACCAGTTGAATTTATCTGAAGATCTTAACATCACAAACATATATACAAAGAGATATGCAAGCAAAACAAAATGTTATTGTGTATAACCTTTTATTTCTCTCCTCAGTTATGCAAACACATTGAACATGTTCTTGTCCTCAAAATGTGTCATGTGGTCACAGAATTGATTTCTATGTTTCTCATTATTTTTAGGGGGTTATGAACCATTGTTGGACAACAGATCAATGACAGTCAATAAGGAAGTTCTTCATCACTGTAATTGTGCCACATTAACACAAGAAATAGGACTTAGACAAAAAAAAAGTCAAATTCATCTTATAAATGTACATAACAGAAACAGATAGTGTGATAACATTCTGTTTTTTCTCCTTTTTTTTTTTTTTTTCAGTTTTTTTTTTCAATTTTCACGCAAAAAAAAACAATGAAGAAGGGGGACACACCTGTCAGTAGGAGGTTCTGTATTGGACTCCTGTACACTGAGATATGAAAATGATCACTTTTTAAAAATTTATATATATATATATATATACATACATACATATATATATTTGTGTGTATGTAATGTATGTGCATATATTGTGTGTAGCTATTCTGAGTCCATGACAGTAGCAACTGCTTTATTTGATTTTTTTTTTTTTATGTTGTTGATTTAAAAACAAAATCACCCAACAATTTACTCCTCAACTAACTTTAACCATAATGGAGAGACATGAATATTTACTAAAAAAAAGTGTTTATCACAAATATATACTGAATATTTATATACATAACTATTGTTAACCGCTATTAAATTGTTATTATTATTTTCATAATATACTAATATTTATCATCTGATAACAAAGGTTATGATCTATTAATCATTTCATTTTTATTTTTGGTTTTATGAATAACATTTTCTATTTTAGTTTTCTTTAGTTAACTTATTCATTTCAAAAAATATTAATCTTGAAAGATGTGATATTGAATAAAACCTATGTACTATTTTAAATATTAAAATAAAAATGTTTTCATTGGTCTGTAAAACAGTCATGGGAAATGTTATTTCCAGATCTGTTTCTGTCAAATTCAAAGCCAAAATTAGTGGCTTGTAAAATAAATTGCCTTAGCTTAAGTTGGCAATCCCAAAGTAACTAAAAAAAAAACATTTAACAAATTTTTAAAACATTAAAGTGTAATATTTATGATAAAATGATACTCGTCTGTTAATATTATGGAATATATAATCAATGTTTTCTTTTTGATTCCATTAAGGTAAATGCCTTGATATATTCCAGTGATATAATATCATTGTAACAATATTAAACTGGCAAAACTGGTTTTCTATGTATCATCACCTCATCATAGGATTTAATTAACCCAACAAAGAACAGGACGGTCGCTAAAGTATGATTATCGTTACCAAAGATGGAAGTGATTATGGAATTGGAAAGTCTTAGATTTTCATGAACAAGTCAATTAGAACAAAATTAGTGTGAGAACAAAACAAACTTTCACTCCAATGAGATAATGTTTCAAACTTCATACTTATTTGTATGATCAATCATTCTCTCATGAGTTTTTGGCGTTGCTCCAATTTTTGATACATGTTTATAAAGATTATAATTTGTTTAACTTATAGTCTTTAAATATTTTATTTAATATGATTTAGTGTATAACTTATTTACAAGCTGACTTAGAATAAAGAAAGATTAACTTTTTTTTTAATTCTCAGCTTGTTTGTTTTCAGATATCAAATAAAATTAAATTTTATTCTACATTAAAATTTCTTTAAATTTTAAAAATATTTTAAGTGAAGTAACAAAAAGTTTGATGCTCTCATTCACCTTGTTGACTCCATTGAAGGTTCTTTTTCTTTGGTATTTTATTTACAGCATATTAATTAAAAAAAAAAATAACAACATTGTCAACAGAAATACCAGCCAATTTGACTTAAAACATGCCAACTTTAACCAAATTTTGAATTTCTTTACCTGACCTGTTCCATATACTTACTTATTTTACCTGAATGTTTCTCCAAGTGTCTTTAACTACCTAGTAACCATTTTACATGTAATGGATTAAATTTCTTAAATGTTCTTTTACATTTTATTGCTTACTATAAAAATCATAATTGTTTGAAAGTTAGAAATTTCTCATTCCCTAACATGTTGCATATATTTGTAAATCTACCAAAAGTTTTTGTTGAAAGGATTTTTCAATTGAATTATATTCTACATCATTACTGTCTGCAATGACATTAAAAGGAACTTTAAATAAAATATTTCTCTAAATCAATATAATGTGAATGATGAATTGGTATATTTTTTCTTTAATAATATCACCTTTCACATTTCTGGTGAAAGTGGCCTTACCATTGAAGCAAATTTTATTTTATAAAAGCTTTCAATGCAAACAATATTTTGGGAGTGCTTAAAAAATGTTCACATTAAAATTATATGTTATCTTATTAAATGCAAAATTAAAAAAGTTACCTATTTATGAACAAATCCCCATATTTATAACTATGTAATTAAATTAAAAAACAATTTTAGAGTTTTTAAATTAAGCATTAATCTAGTATATTATTTTGCAATCTAAAATTTTAAATATTTACAAAATTTATCTAAAATGTTTGGTCGCAGATGGATAAAATTGAGAATTGGGCAATATATATTGGTCACATTACTTTTCCTAATGGTTCTATTTTAGGTGTTGACCATCTACCAATTTTAAGCCCAAAACTAACAAAACGATATTTTTATATGTGGTTAATTATTCACTTCATTGTCAAAGGGATTTTGTCATGAGAAATTCAACTTTCATCTTATTATCATTCAGTCTTAGGCCAAAACTTAACATAAATATATTTTTATATCTGATTAATGATTTGACTTTGGAGTTTTTTGTCCTGAGTAATTCAACTTCTATTTTAGATATCAATTACAGAAATCTTCATCTATTTACCATAGGTGGTGATAGATTTAAATAGTGTAAATATAATATAATGTATAGTGATAAGCGATAATTAAGAACTAATGTAAGATTTTTTTGTGTATAGATTTTACTATGAATCTAGAAGCTTCATAAATGTTCTAAGACTTGATTAGAAGAACTTGTATGTATTTCAAATAAAATAAATGAAGTTATCTGATGTGTTACCATGTAATCTCAAGGAAATAAGAATCTCTCAATTGGATGTGAGCCGAAAAGAGAAATGATTTTTTCTTTTTAAATATTTTATTTGAATTACTGCTTTTGGTGGCATTAGCTGGCAGAAAGCCCTGATCTTCCAAAAGCCAAATTTATGAGTTAGAGAAATCTGGCAGGAATACAGTGTTTGCTTCTTGTTTGAAATATTTTTCACATCATAAATGTTTGAAATTAGATAAATGTATGAAAAACAAGTTTCCATTATTGTCAGTGTTCTGGGTTTAAAGTTTAGTTGTAAAATTCTTCAATAGGATGAAATATTTTTATAGAGTAAATATATATACATATATATATATATATAACACTAATAATAAATATGCATTTTTTTTTCCTCACCAGTAGCACAACTGTGAGTTTTATGCATGATGCAATCTTCAGGTGCTGGTTGGTCAGTTTTCAATCGGCACATGAATATTAACTCATGTATGAAATGCAGAGTTGTGCTATTAGTGAGGAACAAAATGTATAATTTATTATTAGTATAAATTCTAACTCTGTTATATATTGAGCACTGTTTTAATACCACCAGCAGTACTTTACTTTTTGTGTGTGTGTATATGTATATATAATCTTTAACTTAGCTGATAATATATGTAATGCGTGTATAATATTGTAGTATAATAATGATTATGTATATGTTATACATATTAATTTTAATTTCTAATCAAATAACTTTATCTTTTGTATAGTTCATTCAAATTGTCAGTTTTTGTGCATTGAATATACTGTTCATGAAAGATTGACATAACAGAATATAAGTAAACTATGAAATTGTATAGAAGATGTAGCCCTTTTATTGGTAAGCATACTCAAGTCATTTTCTTTCTCCACTGGTTCTTCAATGACTGTAAAAAACTTGTTGGCTGCTTGCCACAAGAAAGGGACAACCCATTTATATCTTCTCATTCCCAGCTCCCACCTTCTTTCTCCCCTTCTTCCAACACCTGCCAAAAGTTTCATATCCAAGGGGAGACAACTTTTAATCAAACACTATTGTAATTGATACAGAAGATCTTTTTCCTTTCTAGAAATTTGTTTTCTTATGGTTTTGTTTGAATAAGTAAAAGGAAGATTCTACATTAATTATAAAGTCAGTTTCATTAATGAATTAAAAGCAAAGCAAAATGCTTTTCTACTGGGCCAGATGAAAAAAGTCAAATGGTCTCTTCAGTGCACAAAGAATATGATGCAAATGTATTTGAATGGTTGATACATAAATCTAATGCGTTTAGCAAAGAACATAAATACGGATGAAAGATTGTCTGCATGAGTGATACAGCTATTCGGTGAAAGCTGTGGTACCAGAATAAAACTAGTTGTCAAATTTTGATATTCTGTAATATTTTCAACACCGGTTCTCATCTGATCACCAAAGTTAAGCAACATTGAGCCTGGTCAGTACCTAGATAGGTGACCACTTGGGAATACCATATGCTGTAGGTCCCTTCCAACACGCATTGGGCCAGCACAGTAAGGTAATGGCCCATTCCTTTTGCCAAACAGCAAAAAGAAATCTTTAGGATAGGCCCACATCCAACAAAGGAATTTCACAGGCTTATTAAGAAGATTTTCAAATGTGACTAAAGGCTGCACAGAGCAAATTGCAAGACTGTCACATCTGAATTGATGGAAGGAATGACATTTGTCAATAAAATAATTTTTGGAATATTTTTTAGGAAGGGTAAAAATGATTTTAACAAAAGAAAAATTCAATCATTTTTTTTTTTTTTTTTTACACTTTTATTCAGATTTTACTTTTTTTCAAATCTGACTCAAATAATAGGACAATTTCAGCAGACCAAAACCTTGATGACTCTTGAGTAGCAATGTACATAAAATTCCACTGTTTTAATTTCTTGATACACAGTGAAATCTATGACAAGATTGTATGTGATCATGTTCTTTATATAACAAAGTTATGATATTACCACAGTTACTCATCTAAAATTTGAGAATTAAATTTAATAATTTTACACTCATTTATCAAGCATTAAGAAGATCCAGTATCATTTTCTACAATAATAATATTGCAACTATCAATAATGAAAAGTAAACAAAAATATGGAATCTTAAGTTATATTTTCCAGTTGGCATATTTTAAAATCATTTTTTTTTTTAATTTATTTATGGCAAAAAACACTTAGCCATTGTATTTTAAATTATGGGTTCTTTTTCCCTTATTGAAACCATTTGAAAAATGCTAATGAATAAGACAATGGAAATTAATTCTATATATATCATTTACCACCGGGTCTTATCACTTATCAGATTAATTAAGTTCCATTTTGTTTCTTTATCAGTTAAAGCATAAATTCTATGTACAGACTCTTTGTTTGATTAGCTGCCAAAGAAACACATGTACTTTGATCGCAAAAAGGTGTCTTTGTATACAGATTTATTCAGCAAATCAACAGTATTGCTAGAAGTGTTTTTACTATTTTGTGAAATGATTCATTTCTATATAACCAACCTGAAAAAAATTAAACTCTAGACACAAAGAAAAGCTGACCTATTACATTTCTTTTCTCATTAACCATTACATAAGCAAAATAGTATTTTGATGTATCTATTTTTAAAGCTTAACTTTTTTATGTTGTTTTTCTATGAATTGTCTTTGAAGGCTGCTTAGTGCTCAGTGAAATCCAGAAGATTTTGTTTCAATTATTTTTTTTTTCTTCAGTCTGACATTCTATATTTATAAGAGAACATTGCTCTAAATTTCCATGTCTCCATTCTAACCATATTCTTAAAATAGATTTTTACTACAGTGACTCAATTATAATGGAAAAATTTTTGGCAAAAAGAAATTGATTATATATGATTATAGCCATATCTACAAATTTTTCTAGAGCCTTTTCTTTGAACCTAGTAATTAAAATAGACTATAATTTAACTGGGTATTTAATGTCACCGGTTCCTTTAACTATGACCACATAGCTTTCAAAATTGGCATGTTTGAAGCCCAATATGAAGCTGTATTTATCAAAAGTTTTGCTGTAGAAAAGTAATAATTGTATTTTCTTACAGAAATACAAAATTAACACATCACCAAGTAGTCCAGTAAGCTTCAATCTATTTCTGATGTAAAATGCTGGTATCTTAGGATTCGGGATTTTAATGCATATTATTATCATAATTTTAGTAAGACTCAGAATGTCTGTGACACAATAAACCTTGCAAAAAGCATTTTAAAAAATTTCTTTTTTTTTTTTTTTTTGGAATTTAATCATTTATTTTTTCATTAACTTGGACAATTTTTCTCAGTACTGTGTCATCAGGACTCATTTGACAACAATGACAAAAAAAACATCTTTCTTTTTTTCCTATATTGTAATGATTTTCTTTTTTAAAAGACATTTTTGGCATTTCATGAAAAGGAAGTATTGTCACCTATTTTTTTTTTTTCATCTCTCCTACTAAACCCCATCTTTCAGCATTGGTCATTACATCAAAGAATGGTGCTAACTGGCACCCAGACTAGTCTTACATGCAATTCAGTCACTCCCATTTGCACACATTTCTGCACACAATAAAATGCATTCAACATCAAAATTATAAATTAACAAAGTATTTTGAGCAAGTCATTTGGCGCAGGTTCTTTGAAATGCAGACAAAAAATAAGAGGAGAGAACATAAAGTCCACAACTGTGTTTTGGAACCTGAAACACTGGGTTCTTCTTCTCTAGAGGCCATTTGTCAGTGGACTAAGAAATAGCACAAAAATTTACATTTTTGTATGGTCCCTTCGTTAGACATTTTTAACGAAGCAGGAGATAGTTTTAATTTTGTAAACAGGATCTCTTTATAGATTTAATTTTCAGTACACACACACACACACACATATATATATATATATATATATATATATATATATATATGTGTGTGTGTGTGTACTTTATTTTTTATCTTTCCAAAGTAAGTAGTCAATGAAAATCAACAAAGTGAATCAGATTTCATTACCAGTGTTATTGTTGAATATGGAAACTGGTTGATTTAACCTTTTGTTTTTCAACCAAAATTGCCATAATTAAGAAACAAAGGTAAGTAACATCAGGAAGAGAAGGGTTATGATTTTTCTTTTTATGTTGATGGTAGCCATAAAGGGTAAGGCCAACAAGATGGTCATTTGAATGTGTTGTTTGATTCTTTTTTTTTTTTCTCTCTCTCCAAAGAGACTCTCATAGAATGTAAATTACAATTCTTCTGGAACTGACTCATTTGTCGCCTGCTGGATAAATAAAAAAGATAATGATGAAACATTGATATAAAGCACCTTTCTTTAGAGCATACAAGATAGTGGAAGTTGGTTGTGTGTATGTGTGTGTATATATTTTATTTTTCTTTGCTATTTAAGTAGCAACAGCATTTTACTAGCGGCAGTGCAAGGAGCAATCTTAATTATTTTCGTTGGCTTTTTTTATTGTGGTTATTAACAGCTAGAGTTAATGAGATTGGAGTGGGGGACTGTTAAAAAGCTAAAATGTCTATTGCACAATATAAATTTTAAGTTTAACAAGATGAAAAAATATAAAAGTTTTATTTAATTTTTGTTCACAATAAAATACTATCTGGATGTTTAATGAGAAATTTAGTATTTTAAGTGATTTTTTTTCTTTTTGATAGTCCATATTATGGTAGTAAATCATTGGCTAAAACTAAGAATAACCTATTTCTGTTGTACACATGTTCCCCTAATTAAATCAACTTTTTTTTAACAAGTAGTTAGCCCATTAGATTAGAGATACAAAAGCCTAGATTTTATTGGCTAGAGTGGTACAGTCAATATTTATTAATGTAACACCTGAGACTTTCAATTTTACAATCAGAGATTAAATGCCTTTCTGATTAATGACCACCAAATCAGCATTAATATTTCCAAATTATTTATGCAATTGCAGAGAAACCTTATAAAGAACTAAAATACTTAATTCTTTTACAAATATATTAAATTTCTTCTCTTTGTTGTTTGTTACTTATAAAATAATTTATTTTTTATTAAGTGTCAAAGCAATAGATTATAGATTTGTCTTAAGGTGGCTCATTGGTAACTAGAAAAATTCTGGTCCATCCACCTATTATATTTATCGTTAAACATGGTATACATCAGTCTTTTCTTGATTCTTGTATTAACTTAATTTTGAAGGCAATATCTGAGAAATATTAATGTCAGCCTAAAGGTTATTTTTTTAATCTCTATTAAATTGTATCCATTCACCTAATCACCAGAAAAAAAAGTAAATTTACTCATGTTCCAAACAAATATCTTACTGATTCTGTACTCAAAAACTGTAGTAAATGAAGATATATGTGCATGTGTTTGTGTGTGAGAGTGTATATAATACATAGTCACAAACACATATGTTGATACATGTGCTTGCATGCATATATATATATATATATATATATATATATATATATAGTGTTTAGATCCAACAAACTTATATATCTCTAATTATTGTCAATTTATTTAACTGATCACAGACTTTCTTTCATCTTCCTTTATGAAGATGAAATGGCCAGGTTAATCCTTGGCAGGAAAATAATGAAACTGAATCTCTCCATATGTCATCTTTCTTTAAATAATATTTCTTTCTTGTTTGCCTCTTATCCATATCATAAAATATTGTCTAGCCTATAGCAAAATCTGTGGGAGGAGAAGAACAAAAATATCTTCTTCCATGCCTGTAACTGTTGGTTTCCTTTTGACACTAATCATTTCACACCATCACCAAAAACTGAATATCAGTTTTAGCAAGATGACATAATGATAATGTCAATTCACCCCTCTTTATTTCATCATCAGTGAAAAATCCTCGGGTGATGTTTTGAGACAATCAGCAGATGATCATTCTTGATAATGATCTTAATATTTATTGATATAACAGTCACAGACTACCTATTAATAAACACTTCATTTAAAAGTAGATGTATCTCTTAGTGTGTTAAATAATAGCTTAGAATACTACTAATAATAATAATGACAATAAGTAACAGTAAAAGTTTAAAAAAATAGTGATACAAGTGTTGATTCTAGGCTAATTGTAACTGCTAGTCCTTGACACCTCCTTTGACAGATACTAATTTAAAATTGTTACTTTTCAGTTAACAGTTTAATAATACCAATAAAAATAGCAAGTATTGTTTTAAATATGCATGCTATACTCTGCTTTGCTTCATCTGTACCTGTGATCAATGTAATAGATATTTTTATGCCATAATGGAAAGAAAACCATGACCAGAAGACGGAATTTGTCGCCATTTTGTTGAGGTTTTGGTGGCAAGTTTCAAACAATGAGTTATGGATACTATGACAAAAATGCAGTTCAAACAATGAGTTTCTGTGCTCAAGAATAATGACTAGTCATGGCTATGCCTGCTTGAGTTTATACAACCAATTCAAACTAGTACTTTCTTCATTTACCAGTTCTCTTGTTCAGACTCACTTGAGAATTTTCATTCATCAATGGAAATGAAAGACCAAATGAAAAGAAAATTGAAATCTGTTATATATATATATATATGGCATGTGCCATCAGTAATTACTCAAAGTAGGCAGCTTGTGACCTTTATAAATAAAAGGTTTTGTATTTTATGCCTAATAATCAGAGTAAACTTTATAATTTTGTTGGATTAGTTGCATATTGTGCCACAGAAGGAAAATGTAGCTGCTGGTCTTTTATTCAGAGTAGGCACAGCCTACCTATATGGCACATCCCTTATATATATATATATATATATATATATATATATATATATAAACCAGCTTTTATCTTTTTATATTACAACACCTTTTTTCAAATTACCATTTTTGGTTTGTTTTTTTTTTTTTTCCTAAATTCTTATTAAAACAAGCAAAGCATAATGAATGTAAGACATCTCATAAATCTAATTTCACAATTTTTGAGAAATATATTTTGTCAGGTTTTATCATAGGCACATAGGAAAGCAAAAGCAGAGTGACAAGCTTAAGTCCAAAAAATAAAGAAATAATTTCCTTCAAATTATCCTTAATACTGTTATGTGATATTTTTAATCTTTGAAATTGCCTTTATTTTTAAAATAATAATTGTAGCATACTCTACTTCTTCTGATTTTCTAACAATCAGTAAAAACGGTATATCTAGTGTAATAAAATGTGGCTTATATATATTGAAAAGATGCCATTCCAACCAAAGGCAAGGAATGAAACTGTAAAAACAAAAACAAATATTTTCCTTCTTTCTTATATAACATGTTTTCCTTTTAAAAATAACATCTAATAAACAACAGCTTATATAACAACTTGTAACAACAATTAAAGAGATTTTTATAGTTACTTCCATTTTTATTTGATGCTCAATTAAACTATTTCTCATTCATTAGGAAATATGAAGTTAGTTGGAGTTTATTTTTAATTTTTTGTATTTTTTTTTTTAATTTTAATTTTGTTTTAAAGAAAACAGATGACAAGTTATTCACAGTTTATAACATTAGTAAGCACATAGGTTCAATCAAGCATCTGTGGGCTCTAAATAAAATTAATGAAATAAAGAAACACATCTTGGGAAGTATTTTTAAAAAAAAAAAAAAAAAAAAGGTTATTTTTGAAGCCTGTATCTTGAGGATCAAGAAGCTAAAGTCCAGATTTGAACATACCTGGGATGGAGAGAGGGACGATATAGCTGCAATTTGATTATTATTTTTTTTTCTCTTTCATTTTTCTTCCTTCCTTTCTTTCTTTCTTTTCCTTTATCCTTCATTTTTTTTTCTTTCCATTTTCTTTGTTTACATTATTGTTTGTTTGTCTGATTTTATTTCCGTACAAGAGATAGCTGTCAATTATTCAGCCATCTTACGAAAGAAGGATGAACAAAAATATCAACTGTGGCTTTTAAGATTGGGAATCAACTAACATGAAATACTTTTAATGTCAAATTTGAACTTTAAATTTAAAGGCCTATTATTTCATTAACTTTTTTTCATCCACATTTGAGATTATTATTTGACTAAATAACTGTTTATGGCTGTTGCTATATCTATTTACGTAAGTGGCTTTTCTGAGATTATGCTGTTGATGACAGTGATACTGAATTGATTTTAAACAAAATAAATCTCTTTCTTCAAATCAACTCCTAAACTTACATTCTGTTATTATATTATTGTATGTACACATGCACACATTTACATAAACTCACAGGCTTTCATGGAGGGAAAAAAACAACTTTTAACATTTTTAATTAATTCAAGCAAGATTGTCAGTAAAAATTTAAATAATGACTCATTTGCAGTTTTTAAAAGTAAAACTTAATGCATGTATCCCCACCAGAAAAAGAAAAAAAATACAAAGTACAAGAAAACTATTCAGTTCATCTCCTTGAAGAGTGATAAATTTATATACGAATAAACTTGTATAAAGATATTCATGTATGCACACACACAGGCATTCATATATACACATACATATGTTCATAATTATTTTATATAATATAGATGCTCAAGTCCTTTGTTTTATTCAATTTTTTTTCTTTTATTGATACCTTTATTTATCTTAAAACCAACATGAAATTTTTGTTCATCTTTTTTTCTTGAATGGTATATATGTGTATATGTATGTGTAAATATATATATATATATATATATATATATATATATATATATATACACATACACCAGGCAAACAATCCACTTTGTTTAAAAAGGAATTCAATAAGGAAAGGGGGATTTTTTTCTTCAACATTTTCGTATTTTTTTCTTTTCAAACCATTTTTAAAAATTTAGGGATAAATGAGTTATTGTTTGGTCATTTTGTTTGTTTGTTTGTTTGTTATTTTTTTAACTATATCAGTTCCAAATTGTTCAAAGAGTTTCTTGACTTTTTTTTTCTTTTAAACTGGTCTTTCAATCATGATATTATACTGAAATGAGCTCATGGTTCTACAGCCCAGACAGTAACCTACAGGTGATAGGATATTAAAAAAATGAAGTAACACCTGATTTTTTTTCTTGTTCTTCATTGTATAAAAAAAGAAAATGAAAGAAAAGAAAAAACACATTTTTTTTTTCCTTTAGAAAAAAGCCACAAATGAGAACGATGGACATTTCAGAGGGAAATAATAAAAACCTTTTTCTTTTTTTCATTTGGTATCAGTTAAGGTTTTATCTTTCCCCATCATGTTTGTTTTTTTTTTTTTTTGCTTTTTAATTTCTTATGATATTTAAAATTGTCACCAGCAGTGATATGTGTTCATTTGTGGGCTAGCCAGCCCGTGACTTGCTAGTCATTAACATTTTTCATTTTATTTTTCTATCCAAATCTTTCTTCATTTCAATATATATATATATATATATATATATATATATATATATATATATATATATAATTTTTCACCATAGACCATCTCTGATATTTTGTCAAGTGTCTTTTTTGTTTGTTTGTTTGTATTGTATGTTTTTTTTTTTTTATTTTTATTTTCACCTCCACTTCATTGGATTGTCTTGAGTTCTTCTCTTAATAATTTTGGCTGCATTTTTTTTTGTTTTCAAGTTTGTTTATTTGTTGTTATTTTTTCTTTATTTTATTTTATTTTTTTTTGAGCACCAGGGATAATATTTCTGTTTCCTTCATCCTTATTACCATTCCTTTTGTTCTTGATGATGTTGTCGTCATTTCAACATGACATACATATGCATTTATTTATATGTATGTATGTGTGCATGGTATTCACCTGAATATTCTGGCCAACAATCCCTGCTTATTTTAAGCTCAGTTATCAAATAAAAACCTCTCTTCCTGCAGCAGTATTATATCCTCAGTTCAATAGACGATATTTTAAACACCTGACAATGCCAGCCATTTCTTTCATTGTCTTTTTCTTTTCTAATGATGGTTGACTGGCCTGCCTTCCTGCCAACCACATGAAGAAGTAGTAGTATGCTATAAGGTCAGGAACGAGTTGAGCAGACACAGAATTTGGGAAAACACTTTTCGTAATAATTATTATTAAAGTTATACATTTTCTCTTCCATAACTGATATCTTCATTATTTTAACATCCAGTATAAAGTCCATATTTCATGCTTCAGTTGCTCAGTGCCCCTCCCCAAAGCCAACATTTTTTTTCTAAATACCACACAACCAACTCAGAATTTCACATACAGAAATCAAGGTTTCTTTATTTTTTAATGGGATAAAATTAACTTTTTTGTAGGTATATTTCTTTAGGAAAAACCAAAAGTGGGAGTTGTATAATACACGCAGGTGTGTATTTCATATCATTCATATATACATATATGTATATATTTATAAACACAAGATTGACTTAATTTAACTAATCTCATAATCTTCATTCAGCAAATAAAACTTATTCCAAAAGGCCAAAAAAAAAAAATGAAAAGACTACATATCTAAATATCAATTCATAACAAATGGCTTTTTTCTTTTACTATATAATGATATGGCTTAAACTGAAACTTGTTTCAAACACACACACACACGTTTATATATATATATATATATATATATATATATATATATATATATATATATATATTTTTTTTTCCTTTTTTTAAATTTTTGATATCAAAAAGCATAAAAAGTTAAGCCAATATGTTGTTTCAAAATGTTTATGTTGCTTCACAAAGGGGTTATAATTAGACAATAATAATAATAATAAAGTTTAAAGTTATGTCTTTGTATAAAAGAAAAGGAAAAGCTAGTATTTTTCATGTCGCTTTTAGCCTTAAAAAAAAAAATAAACAGCAGATATATAGCTGCACATTTTTTTTTTTTCTGTTTTTCTTTTCCTTCAGTGAAATGGGGGGAAAATCTGTTTGAGAAAAGGTGGCAAGCATTTTACACAATAAGAACATGCCACTGTAGTCAGTCACAAGCAAAATTTGTCTTTCAAACATCTGACAGTTGTGGGTACCAAATATGAGGCAGGTGAGCTGTGTGAAGCATGTGTCTGGTTCACTCAGTAACAATTAGTTTTTTTTTTGTTTTTTTTTTTTCTTTTTCACTGATTATTTTTTTCCTTTTTTTTCTGGTTTCGTTTAAAAATGTCCAAATGGAATTAACATTGTCACAACATGAAAAAAACCAGTAAACACAAAATACTCGTCCATTGTTGGCTATATTCATGTAAAGAACGGCTATTGCCAGCTGTATATATCTCTGCCTGTGAATTCGTTTCATCTGAAAAAAAAAAAAGAATATTAAAGTATTTCAAAATACTTATTTTCACATCAGATAATATTTAAAATATCAGTTGTGCATACAACTGATTTTTAAATGTTATTAACTATTAAAATTTTTCAAATTAATCACAGCATTTTTAAGTAGCATGCTTGCTATGGTAACAGTTTTTCTCCTTAGTTGTTTTGAAAATACTCATGCAAAGTGAAACGTTAACAAGGAAATAAATTCTGAAGATATTTAAATATCCAAATGGTGGCAAACTTGGACCTTTGTGCCTGCAAAAAAATGGAATGTCAAAAGGACAGTTTTTTTCCCTTGACACCATTATTATTTTAACTACCTTCACTCCTCAGCAATGTTTGTTTTAAAAAGCAATAATTAGAATTGTAATAAAACCTAAACATATAATGAAAATGTATGCATTTTTTTGTTTCTGAGAATATACAATAAAAATAATAAACACTATTAGATTGTTCATTTTCAAGAATTTTATATTTACAATATTCTAAAGATTACTATAAATTTATTAAAACTAATGCAATGCAGTTATCAATTTATAATGAAGTAAATATGAGAAAAAAAATTATTCATAAATTTATAAACATCTACTAAATTTATATATATATATTATAAATTGATTTATTTAAAATATGTTTTTTTTCGCTACACAGTTCTAACCATGTTTCAAAAATGGAAGCTAAAAGCTACGAATTTAATTTTGTAATTAGATTAAAGACATTAGTTCTATTTCATCCGCAAGCGAATTTTGGAGTAACTTAACTTTTTAACTGGGTTTTAAAGACACAGCTAAAATCATAATTCACGTTTCCATGGTTACAAAATTTGCTTGAGGATGAAATGGAACTAATGTCTTCAATCTAATTACAAAATTAAATTCGTAGCTTCCATTTTTGAAACATGGTTAGAACTGTGTAGCGAAAAAAACATTTTAAATAAATCAATTTATAATATTAATGCTCTGTAAATTTACATTGAGCACTATTTTGTAAAAATAAAAATATCTATAAGAACAACGGATTATATATCTTACTGTTCGTTCTTTATTTATATATATATATATATATATATATATATATACACACACTATAAGGGAATTCTTATTTACCATTTTATAAAGTTTGATATCAATTTGCAATTAGCTGATGTTTTTTGAGCATTCCAATAAAATTATAATAGTGTAAATAAATCTAATAGTGTTTATTATTTTTGTTGCCAATTCACAAGAAAAAAGAAAATGTCTAAATTCACTTTCATATGTTCAAGTTTTATTACAATTCTAATCATCACTTTTTAAATGAAAAAATATTGCTGGGGAGTAAAGGTAGTTAAAATAACAGTGGAGAAATGGAAAAAACTGTCCTGTCGACACTCTGTTTTCTTGTGAGCATGAAGGTCTAAGTTTGCCGAAATGGTTATTACAAATTTCTTCCTGTATATTTTATTGGAATATTGTGTATTCCATGTTTATTAGAACTTTTCCTAATGCTTCTGTTTTACTCATTTAAGTGATTTAAGAGGGAATTTTTACAACTTACTCAAGTGAACATCTATTTCTGGTTCCTATCATTAAGTATCATCTTTTGGTTAGTTACTTTCAAGAATTCAGTAGTAACATACCTATACAAACTCATTTTAATTACTCTCAATTTCTATATCTTAGTAATGTTGCTTTGCATAATGACAATTTAAAATACTTACACACTGGCTTCACATTTGTTTTTTCAAATCTGTATTTAGCCTGGAACCCATGAGCATCATAAATGCCATTGGATTTGAATGTGACTTTAAAAAATTCTCCATCTGATTTGACGGTATTATTCTTGCCTGTACGCAGGCCGCAGTATCGGTCCATCTTTCTATCCCGTGTAGTAAAGAAGTTGGAGAAAGCTACATAATCACTTTTAGTCTCTTCCTCACACCTGAGAAGTAAAGAAAATTTTGTTAAGCAAGTTATTATAAGTAAAGGATCATATCATAAATATCAAAGAAATTACTTTTGTTCAACATATTTTCATTGCATCTTAACTTTTTTAAAATGATGAATAAATATTGCTTGTTCACTGTGAGTGTTGGGTTCTAATAATTAATATAGAAAGAAAAATGATTCATCAGCTATTAATTTTGATTTTATCAGAAGAACCAGCAAAAATAAAATGCCAATTAAAATAAGAATGTCAACTTTTGAAATTGAGAGAAATAAGTTTTGTTGGCAGTTTAACATATGAAGTGCTTCTGCCTGATTGCTAATGGCAATATTAATTTGGGAGGCACATATATAATGTCAATGGTTAAAAATGACTTTGAGCAAGTGAAGCCTGTGTGGGTCTTGGCAAAAGTCATATTTTTTTTGTAATTGGGTAGTGTGAGTCCACGAACAAAGAAAGCCTTACAGCCACATCACATTGAAACACAGGTGACCACTTGGGAATACCAGGTGTTGTAAGTGTTGATATGCAAGTGGTGCAATGGATAATGGCTGAGAATTTTTAATTGGAGAGCAGAGTTACAATTCTTGTTGGATTTCTTATGTCCATTTGCATACATATGCCCTTGGGAAAGGTATGAACACACCTCTTCTCCCCCAGCTATGTATCACTAAATCATTATCTTCTTAAAAAAAAAAAAAAAAAAAAAAATCTTAGAATCTAAACGTATTTCCTGGCTTAAAATAACCTACAATGGGTTGGTAAGCTATAAAAAAAACCCGATTCAACCAACAAACAAAAAAACTAGAGCCAATAACACACACGGCATCACTAAAATGGGTATCACATGTAATTCAAACTGTTGAGACAGCACACTACTCTAAATAATACCCTAGGAAGGATTCCCTACCAATACAGAATTTGAGAAACCTATTTTCATGAGAAATTGTTTTAAAAAAAAGTTTTTAGAAATTTCCCCTAAAAGCAATACTGGCTGCTCAATCAATGAATGCTGAATGTTTCCTTATAAAGAAACAGCTAATATTAACTTTGCCTGACTCAAATTAGGATGATGTGTGTAACTTTGTACAGTTTCAATAAAGTAACAGACAAGTGAAAAATTTAGGCATCCTAAAAAATGATGCAGATAACTGAATTTATATCATTGGATGTGGATAAATTAGTTTTGCCATGTTTTAGTATGATACCTGTTAGTTTCAGTAGGCCAGCTCAACAGTTATTCATTTACTTTTGCATTTATACAATATTATTTGAAACTAGAAGGGTTACCTAGCAACGCCCTCATGGAGGGAATAACATCCCATATAACAATATAGTAAGAATGGGGTTCTTTTTCATATTTTTTCTAAATTAATATAATTTTTTTTTATTTTACATAGTCATAGATCTTAGTGATATCTAAGCCAGTGCATACTACCCACAAACTCTCCAGCTGGTTGGGGGACATTGGGCAGTACTTTTTAATCCTCACATTTCCTTTTTTCTACCTATATTACATATTATAAATTAAACTAAGCATAACTGACTATTAAAGGATGAAAATTTTTGTGAATTTTGACATCATTCTGTGGGGTTTTTTTTTGTTTTTTTTTTTCTTTTTGTCCAAATCTGTGAATTTGTTTTGCTCAGCTTATGTCTCAAAAAACATTATATAAAATACACTATTTTTTATCCATAATGTTGAATGTATTAAAATTATTCAACTTTTTAACAAGAAAAATTTCAAGTTGATGTTAAAAATTTCCACAAAACATTGATCTATTTAATATGCAATTATCTATTATGACGTGTCTCTAATTTGTATTTAGATACATTTACATTGTATTTATTTTCAATTTTCCTAGATTAATTTCCATATAATCCATTATTGCACATAATTAGGTTACAATAAAATTTGTATGTTATATGAATACTACCTTATGAAAATTGGGTTTATTATAGTTGCTTATACATAAATACCCTTGTGAAAGGTAGGAATACACCTCTTCTTCCCCAGCTATGGGTTAATTAGTAGGAGTTGTATCAGTAAATAATTATTATCTCGGAACACTCTTACAGTCTAAAAATATTTTCTAGCTTAAATATCCTGCAAAGGGTTTATAAACCATTAAAAATTAATCAATTTTCACAAATCTTACTAAAGAGAAAAGAGCAACAAAACTTTATTGACAAATTAAATACTTTTATTCACTGTTTATGTTGGGAGCACTCATGTAGATATGTATAATAAATACCTTGTTGATAATGAAGATTCAAAGTAGTGTTACCAGTACCTTCACATTTTTGTTATTTGTCTCTCCGCTCAATGCTACATAGATTGGCTATGTTGGAAGTAGGTTTTTTTTCAAGACAGACAGTAATGTTGTCTATGTTTCTAGCTTATGATTCATCTACTGTCTTTACAAAGCTAGACTGGGCAGGAAACTGCAGTTGTCTGTCAAATGGAGGGTCATAACCAGCAGAAGATAATTTGAATCTTAGAAACATAACTGATCTTTTGAAGACTAGCACCAAGATTTTGTTATAATCATATTATCATGCATGTCTTGAACCAGCATTCAGATTCCATTACATAGTTTAGGTGGGTCTGCGTTTCTCATCAAGATTACAGGTGACCCTTCATGCACTTCCAATATATGATGTAGCATGTCAGATGTCAATGGAGTCAAGAAATTCTGATGTTATATATTACATCTGTTTCTTCATTGATTGAATTATATGAGTAGTATATCTTTGTATCACCTGGAAATGTTTGAATTCTTTCATTGTTGATGTTTCTTACCATCTTGTTGAAGTGTACCAACTTCTTTGGGCTTCTAGATTGATGGATACACATGACTGATGCACACAGATATCTGGCTGAAGGTTAGTTCTAAATCTGTTGGCAGCTGCACTGATCTTTGAGAATCTTCCTTGGAGTAGAAAATTGGATTATTCTTCTTTACCATTTCCAAGCCTCATTTTTCCTGGGGCCAAATTTGGTGATAGTTATCCATATCATTCTTTTCATGTAGTTGGTTACATCAGCATCACCTCCTCTCTTCACTATGTGAACAAGCTATTAGAAATCACCTGCTAAAATGATGAAGATTACTCCAAATAGTTAATCTTTCTCACATAAGTCTTTAAATGGATTTACCACCTACAAATATCACTTGCTTATCAAAGAACCTTTGTCTCAAATAAGTTCTGCATGAAGTATCATCTTTGCTAAGTTGTCAAAATTGCACATTATGTTGTCATTGCTAAAATTGGGTCTGTGTTTCCTTACTGCCAAGCATAAAGGTTATTGCAATGCCAGATGATGCAACAGCTAATTCGACCACTCTTGCACCTTGTATGTTGGTATGTAAGGTAAATATTGATCATGAAAGTTTTCCTTGTGTCTCTATGGGCATCAAAAAACGTATCCTTAAAGAGGTTACAAACAAAGGTGGTACTCAAGTGACGGGACAGCAACATGTGCATAGATGAAAGAAAGAGAGGTTTATTGTAAAAGAGAAGATACTACTGAAAGACAGGGAATCAGGTGGCAGGCTAGTAATTACAGAAGCAATCCCCCAGGTATATCCTGTGCTCACTACATATAACTAGTGATATAGTCCACATAGACGATAGGGAGTGTCGGACATTCCATTACAACAAAAATTATGACCAAACTTTGACATGTTTGAAGCAGTTGGTAACATAATTATAAAAGACACTTAAATAGAAAACCTTTCTCCCCATATGAATTTCATGTCTTCATTCTTGTCATTTTGGAATTCATGCATAACCTTGGAGTTTCCAGCTACAATATTAGCATGTGGAAAATCCTCTAAGGATTTGCCAGTTTTTCTCAAATATAAATGAATACTGGTTATGGTCCTATTACAGATGAATTTTCTTTTTTTGTGCCATGTCCTCTCAGGATGTGGGTAATCATAGCTCTCCACAATTTCCTGCTTTTTGTTGATTAGAATGGTATTATTATTCAACAGTGTTTCTTTCCATTATGAAAAATCTTCAGAAAGTGGATCCCTGAATGAGATATATATTTATATGATGTATTGATGTCTTTTTTCCTTACTACAAATTTATCTTTATCTTGTAGCTATTTCAGTCCATGTTCTTCTTCATCTTATTGCTTCTCTACTGCATTGTTTCACTCAACTTTACTATTTTAACTTTGTCTAGTCATTGTTTACTTTTACATAGAAATGTATCTTAGAAATGTATCTTAGAAAAATCTATGTTGAAAAACTTTGGTCTCATTGACATAAAAATGAAATGTCATGTAAGAATTTAACAGTTATTTCTTAAAGACTATCTATTAATAGTTTGTATGGCTCTACAAATGAGTTGAACTGCATAAATAAATTATAATTATAAAAATTGTTGTAGCATACCTACAGGCAATAATGGGCATGTCTCTATTCACATAAATACAGTCATAAATGTTGATCTGCATTTGGAGATTTATTGAGGAATTCACTTGATTCACTTCTAGCAGTTGGCTACTTTTTCTACGCACCGCTGGCGAATCTTATATCTGTTGTTCTTGTCCCAAGTATTATCATTCATTACCCACCTTCATTTGATTATTTTATTCAGTAACCTTCCCTAGGTTACAACAAAAATGAAAACTTTTATTTATAGAGTTTAATTTTTTTTAAATCGATAATCAATAATCAATTTATCAGCAAGCAAAAATTTTTTTTTTTTTTTTTAGAAAATTTAAAAACTTTAAATGATGTGTGAATTAAAAAACTTGAAAACACATTTCTACAATTTTTTTCAGAAAATAAAGATTTAAAACACTTTAAATAAGGTTATACTCACTTTTATTCAAATTATAGCCCAAAAACTTCAATTTATTTTACTTACGTATATTATTTCAAAAAATAATTGAACAAGCAATAATATTTTACTTACTCACATAATTTGTTATTGTTTTTAATTAATAAAAATAATAAAATTAATTTAAGACTTCCTTCTTTTTTACTTATTTGAATAATCCACTTTTATGTGCCATGTCCTTTCAGGACATAGGCAATCATGGCACTCCACCTCTTCCTCTGCCTTCTAGCTTTTAATAAGTTTTGTCCTTTTTTTATTTCTCCCAAACTCTTTTCTGGCATCCATTTGCTGAATCCCATCAAATATGTTATATACTGCTTTCCTCTGTCCCATGAGTATCAGATTTTCCAAGACCTCCTTCCTCATTATGTGCTACAGAAATTTCAACTGTCTCTTCCTGATGGTATGTCTGAGTTTCCTTTTTAATTTCCATTCTCTCCAAAACCTTGTTGATGGTCATATGTTCAGACCATGGTATGCTTAGCATCTTTCTGTAGAATCACGTTTCTGTTGCTTCAAGTCTCTTCCTCATCTTTGAGGAGATTATCCAGCATTCATTGCCATACAGGAGGACATGTATCATGTAACAGTTCAGTACTCTTTTTATTTTTTTTTATTTTTTTGTTTTTAATGTAACTTTTCTGTCTCACAATACTCTGCCTAGCTTTTGCAATACATCCTTGGCCATCCCAATACATCTTCGGATCTCAGTGTTGCATTTTCTTTACTCTGTTAGAACACTTTGCAGATATTTAAATCTCTAATTCAATACTGTTCAAAGAAAAGCTCATTTAAATTTTGCGAATTTTCTGAACATATTTACACTTTGAAAATACTTGTATTCTTCATAAAAGCTATGTCCTCAGGGAATTCTAATTATTTAATTTTCATATTCACGTAAACATGTCTGGATGAAATTAATCCAAGAAAATTTAATATGATATGTCTGGGGAAAAAATGATGATTACGATGGCCTCTTTCAAAAAAATCTTATGTAAAACCACTTTCAGTAGACAAATTCAGTTGACTTAAAATCTGTATACCGTTCATAGCTGGATAAATCTAGGTATCTAGGTGTACCTTATTATAGGAACGTTTGTTAAAATGTCACATTTTTCCCAATCATTCAGTTTCATACAGACTCAGATTTAAGATGTTAATAGACATTATCTTCATAGTATTTAGCACAGAAAAGAAACCTTAATATCTGTTACATGCAGCAATATTAAAAACTTAACTCTTCAGCATAGGGTCATGCAGATGAGTAGCAAAATGTCATGTTTTATCAGAGAATATATATTACATTTCTGAAGGTTTTAATATTGAAAATAAAAATGAAGATGCAAGTTCAAAAACATATAGAAACTCATAAAATGTTTTACATTACTTACTTGGGTTGAATTCCATCAACTTCAAACTTTGGAAAGTCAATTATCACTTTTTGTCCTTTCTGACCATAAAATAAGTAGTGGCATTCCGTGTTCCGAGGATACTTCCCTGGATAATTTGGTGACGTGAATACCCCATCTTGTGCTAGAGTGCTTTTATAGTTGAACCCGCATACTGTTGGAAGAAATGCAAACAAAAGACAAATTAGTGATTGTCAAAAATACAAAAGATCTATGCTTGTGAGTAAAGCAGCATTTCAAGTCTGACTAGAAACATTCAAAGAAATTTCTCAAGATGATATAAGTAAATATTAAATATTTTTTTATTTATTTGATGGAGGCCATTTTTTGTCGGCACCAACGTTTTTCTTTATCCAATAGTTTTCAACATGGGGGCTGGAATTTTAGGATCTATATGCTGCGTCACTTCAGAACATTGGTGATCATGGCTCTCTACAAGTTCCTGTCCTTTGTAGCTCTTAATAAATTACTCTTTTTTTACCTTTCATAAATCTTAATCCACCATCCATTTACTCAAGCTCACTAGGTAGATTATGCATTGCTTTCAATCTGTTCTGTGAGTATCAACTTTTCCAAGCTCTCTTTCCTCATTATGTTCCCTATAAATTTCAAAGTGTCCTTTTTATCTCCATTATCTCTAAAACTCTTGTTGCTCACACTTTTGGTTAGTGGTATTCTCAGTATCCTTCTGTAGAACCACATTTCTGTTCCCTCAAGTCTCTTCTTTGTCTGAGGAGAGATTTTCCAGCATTAACTGACATATAGAAAAACTGATATTACATAAGTTCAGTACTCTTTTTTTTTTTCTTTTTTTGGTTTCGGTTTCTAATGCAGTTTTCCTGTTTCTTAATACTTTTCCTATCTTTTGGAAGGCATCTTTCATTACTCCAGTGTACCTTCGGATTTCAATGTCGAACTTTCTGTTGTCTGTTAAAATACTTCCCAGATATTTGAATTGTTGTATTCATTTGATTCTGGTGTCTCTGATTTTTAATTTGCATGTTGAGTTGTCCCTTTTGCTAGCAACCATTCATTCTTTCTTCTCACTTTCCTTCACTACCTTCTGTAGGAGTTCTCATAGTTTCCTTTCTGTCTGCTCTCAGTAAATCTTATGTTGTTAAAAATGTAGCCACTATTAATGAATCTTGGTAGGACTTTTAAGTCTCACAGAATTGACTCACAGTATTACACCCTTATTTTACACCCTTTTTATTTTTGTATATTTACTGAGACTCAATGTAGTGAGGCTTAAATGCTGGAACTTTAAAAGTATGTAACAAGTTTGCAAATTGGCTTGAAGTAATCATGATTGGTTTAAAAGATTTGGATAGTAATCTTGTTAGTTATAAAAGATGATATCTTTGTCTTTTAATTTTAAGGAATTTTATAAAGTTTCATTTTAAAGAAAAGCATAATTGATTACTAAGAAAAGAAATGAAAGAGAATACAATATATAAAGAAACTGAAATAAGAAATTAAATATCAACAGCTTTTGTAGGAAAGTTTCTTATGAAAGAGGAAATCAAGGAAGACATTATCAATAAAAATAAACTTTTCACTGTAATCATCCTTAAAGAAAAAAATTCAAGTAAATGCAACAATAATATTTTTAATATGACTTCCTCCATAAATATGTTAAAACTGTAGATTCAGTAGACACATATTAAATGTTTTTGTTTTCTTTCTTTCAATAACCAATTATGGTGGCCTTGTCTCAGGCTGAGCTAAATTTAGAAAATATTTTTACAGATTGAATTCATTCACAATAGTCTATAAAAGACAATCTTGTTAACCAACACTTTCTGGCAGATGCCCTGAATATCCAACATATTGGAAAAGTGACTAAAATAAACTTTTGCGGAACTGCCAAGATATATTTATATATATATATATATATATAATGTGTGTGTGTAAAGAGTTAATGGCTTTATTTTTAATATATTTTTTTTTTTTACTTCAAACATTATTGTTACTGGATACCCATATTTGAAATAGAGACCCTATTTTTATTTTAAACAGGGTGTACTACATTTATCTGCCAATAGTACTGGGCTGGTCACACTCTGTGACAGAGAAAGCTAAAACATTCTGGATCAAACAATGGTTTCTCCTACAAAAGAGATTTAGGTTTGAATCTTGCTGGAATTCACACTTTCTTTAAAATTTCTTGAGTGTGCAAGGCCGATAGATGTTATACACACTGCTTAAAATAAAAATGGGGCATCTATTTCGAATATCCACTAAAAATAATGTCTGAATTTTGATATAGAAAATTTCCAAGAGTATCTCAGATGTGGCACAAGGTCGAAAGTATGGGGCACCCAGTGAGGATCAAACTCACTACTTGGTCATAATTGTTTTAGCGAGACAAGCTTGCTAACCATTACACCACCTTCAGGTGCCCCTGAGGTTTGTTTATATATATATATATAAAATCAAAGAAGACACTGTCAATTGGATAGAATTATAGTTTTAAATCTTTTTCAAAATAACTCTTGTAAAGAAGTTTCTGTATCTTTTATCATAGAATATATGGGAAAAGTGATTGGTACTCACAATATCTTGAATCTGGTTCGCCTGTATTAATGCCAAAATCTGGAATTAGAAGAAAAGGAAAAATAAATTTTATGTTTGCAATAAAGAGTAATGAAATGTTTTAAAAGTATTTCTATTACCAAAAAGTGATTTGCACACAAGACCAACCAAAAGAATTCAGTGTTAAAGCTGTCAATAGTATTTGGTAATAGCAAGTTAGATTCTAAATTTACATAGGCTTATAGTTAATTCCTCACAGTTTTTAAAATATTGAATTTCCTAAAGATCAGGTCAGAAATGGAGCACAGCTGTCATATATGGGCAAGAGCTGCCCAGTCATCATATTCCAATCTCAGTAGAGTCCAAAAGCAAAAGTGTATCTTGTAGATGAGGAATTATTTCCTACAAACTAAACATCACAATACATTTGTATTGTATATGTTATAGACATATCATTGTATCACGTAGGAAGGAAATGGAATGATATGTCCATAACATTGCAACTTTTATGTTGTTTGAGAGCAAGTAATCAACCTAATACTAGAAGAACTGTTTGCACTATTTTCATTGTCAGGATGAGAACTTTTCAGCAACTTTTTTAATTTATTTTCTGAGGCTTATATTTTTTTGTACTTGATTAAAAAAAAAAAAAAAAAAAAAACTTCAGTTCTATTTCTAAAGGAAATTATTCAAATTAAAATAACTGTTATTTAAATCAAGTTGAATAATATTTGTAAATATAGTTTGCTTAGCATTAAATTCCTCTGATCAAACAGTAATTTTTTTAAAGATTCTATCAAATGCGCTTCCTAAAAAAAGTACAAACAATTTTGTCAAATTACTTTTGCAACCGTACATAATGAATTACAAACATTTTATTTTTATATGGCATTTTTTCCTCCCTCAATTATTTGGGTTAAATGGAAAACTTTTTTCTGCTTTTTTTTTTTTTTTTGCTTTTTTCAGTTATACAATTAATCCAAAATATTCATAAAGGAAAGTGATGATTTACATCGTTTAGACTGTTGTCCTCATCTTTATTGCCATATTCAAAATGTTTTGGCTACTGTATGCCCCAGCCTTCTTCAGGTGATATTTCTTGGACTTTCAAACCAAAACTTTTGTTTAGTCCACAGGATATCTGTTTCATTTAATTCCCCTTGATAACTCGATGCTCCAAGTTTTTGTTCCCTCTGCTGTGACCAGGTATTGAACTCACAACTGTTTGGGTCAAATCACTTTTGGATCAATCACCCAACACTTTTATCCACATGGGCTATTTCCAGTGAATACGGCAATGAAGATGAGGATAACAGTCAAAAATGTAAATAGTGTAAATAGTTACAACACTTTATCTCAGAAATATAGACAGTTGTTGAAAGACTGTTTATATTTATTTATATTATGTTTATATTTATTTGTAGTTTCTGGAAAAACAAATTACAAGTGATTATTTTATAAAAAGTGTCCCTAAAGTTTAGTATAATGGTAATATTAGCTGTTTCCTCATGAGAAAATATTCAGCATTCATTGACTGAACAGAGCTGCTGTCAGTTGAAACTTATAAAATATTTCTCTTAAAACAATTTTTGAAGACAATATTTCTTAAGTCCAGTAGTTATTATTGATCTTTCCAATATTGATTGGAATTTCTTTCTTTGCTTTTTGTTTGAGGTAGTGTGGAATGCCTATTTGCAAAACTATAACATTTTGAAGATGATAATCATTTCTCAAGTGCTATATAATTAATAAATTTGTTTTTTTTTTTTTATGGCTTATCAACCACTTGTGGGATTTTTAAAGCTGAAACATATTTTGGAATGTAAGAATAATCCTTTTTTTGAGAGTAAATATTACCAATTTTTTGAGAAGAACAATGATCTTTATTGATACAAGTCCTATTATTTAACCAATAACTGGAGGTAGATTCATGCATTTTTCAAGGCTATTTCTATGTAAAGAAAGGGGGGAAAAATGCCATTTCTTGAATAGAATAAGGAAATCTGTTTTAAGAGAGAATGGAAAATGTTACACCAAAATCCAAAGGCACATTGAAATAGTGAAAGATGCCTTCCAGATACAAAGTATTAAGAAACAAAAATATTATTAGAAGCAAAGAAGAGTGATGAACAGTTACATAATATTAGCCCTCCTATATTTCAGTGAATGCTGGACAATCTCCTCACAAATGAAGAGAATTGAAGTAATAGAAATCCATGAACTAAACTTGAGTAATGACAAAGTTTTAAAGAAAATGGAAACAAAAAAAAAACACCTCTACTTAAAATTAAAAAGACCATTGACATTTCTAGGGCATATAATGAGCAAAGTGGGTTTGGAGAATTCAACACTCACAGGACAGAGAAAAGAAGCCAATAACCTACCTAATGAGCTAGTGTAAATTTTTTGCAGAACAGGGATTAGAAGGATAGCTTATTCAGAGCTACAAAGGATATTATAGTGAGTCATGACTGCCCATAGAAAAAGAATACAGAGTGTGTTTAGTAATCATATTTTGGTTTAATGTATTTTGTATTAATATTGTTGAATATAATCTGCTCCAAACTACACAGCCTGTATGTGATTCCCAACATAGATCAGTGCCTGACAAAGCACTGGAGAAAATATTGGTAGGCGGGAAGGACAAGTATCAGCAAAAAAAAAAAAATCATTGTCTGTTCCAGCACAAGTATTGGCTTAAAAATAAAAAAAATATCAAAGCAGGCAAACATGATTTCAAGGGAGGTCACTTTTGAAAAGCAGTTAAGATACACTGAGCAACTTTGTCATTATTTTTTCTGGGCTCTTTCCTGAATGGTTTTATATTCTCTTCAAGTACAAATGTTTTAAATCTGTCTTTGAATAAACAATCATGAACTAATATAATTAAGAAAAGATAAACTTTGCCTCTTAGACTCAGAATTCCATTGTGATTGAATGAACAAATCTAATTTAAGCTTAAGGAAATAAGTTCATTTACATTCATCTGGGAAAGTCATGAATTCATTTTTTTCCATTAACTACCACCAGCAATGGGTAAAATCTCATGATACTCTGGGCTCTTTAACCTTGAGTGACAACCAGTCATTTTGTCAAAAGGACAATTCTGAATTCAAGACTGGTTTCAAATCTGGTTAAAAAATAAAGGATGAAGCATGGGTTAGAAACTCCAGACTATCCAAACCTCCATGCTAATAAAACCACAGGAGCAGCATCACTCATTGCATGGCTTGGTTGCAGTCTTATGTTCTACCAGATGCCATCCATCAACACCTACATAAAAAGAAAGAACCACCAGTATGTATACCATGTCAGAAACCATATACATATATTGATAGTCTGTAGTGAATTTCAACCAAGTACTACAGAACAACCTGAATGAACTGTTTACAAATACCAAACCAAGTAAGATTTTGCATTTCATGAAGGAGATTGGCCTCCATAATAGAATATAAGTTCACCATATCTCTCTCTCTCTATCTATCTATATATATATATATATATATATAAAGGTGAACATAGAAGTCAACACTGAGAGGTGACAGTCTGTTTCATGCTATATGCAATCGTCAGGCCACGACTGCATATAGCATGAAACTGACTGTCACCTGTGTTGACTTATATGTTCACTTTTATATTTACACACACACTATCGCTGATATTGAGCACTTTATCCCATAAATATAGCACATCTTAAGACTATTTCTTTATATATATATATATTATATATATATATATATATATATATATATATATATATATATATATATACTTGGAAAAGTCCTAAAATTAATTTTAAGGAAAAAGTTTATTACAATTTATCTTTATGCAAGTTGTATCTGGAAAAATCATTATTATATAATCCCAAAATTGTTAATAGAATATTTATCTGTAAAAAAAATTCCTATACAATTAAAAATATTTCATAATCAAGAAAGGGTTGATAAGCTGTAAAACAAATCAACCAATGAAACCTATCCTCCACAAGTAATCTATAAGGAATAAAATAAATAATAATAAACTTTCTTTCTGATGAAGGGTTAACAGGTAATTTGACTGTAACATCTTCATACTATGACTTCATATTCCTCACTTTGTCTGTTAAACTAAAATTTGAAAACCAACATTCAATAAATAATTTACTGAACGTCAATTGTCCTATTCTATTTCTAGCATATGCAGAATTGGCTAGTCTTCAGAAAACACTGAAAGTTATCTGGTATTTTCTACCATGATTTTTTTTCATTTTTCTAAGAGTTTACAAGCATTACTAATTTTTATTTTAATTAAATTCACCCCAAGCAATTTAGTAAAACCACTAAGGTACAAGTGTTTACTGGGTGTGAAAGAATTAGAAAATAGAAAACATTATGAAGGAACAGGAACAATAGAAGTAGTAATCAGGAAAGTAGATAATGATTGACATTGCATTTAAATTTTTGAAGATCAAAGTTGGCCAGAAATTAATGGAGCGAGAGGAAAGTTAAATAAGTAAGAAGTGTGAGAAAAGGAATTTTTAGCATGTAACTTACAGTTACATCTCACCAATTCAACTGTAAATTGATGAGACCCTGTTGCTACTCTAGTACCGTGCTTAAATTCACAAAGTCTAGATACCATTATGAATAGCTCATCCAAACAATTATGAATGTTTAAATTCACAAAGTCTAGGTACCATTATGAATAGCTCATCCAAACAATTATGAATGTTTATAGAAAAGGCACAGGGAAGCAACTCTACAGTGGTGGGAAAGTGATTTTTTTTCTTTTTGATGTGTTCTTCATGAAATTTTACGAAATAAGTTAAAAAAATATTAATCATTTAAAAGGAAATAATCTTAGCAATTCACCGTTTCCACTTTAATTTTATCTAAAAATAACAATGTATCACTTTGTTATTGATCAGTTAATGATGTTTAATCAAGAGATTAAATCAACATGTAAACTTAAATTTGTTTTTAACTTACTCTGAATTGATTTCTAGATATTTGGTTGCAATATAAAATATGTGGGTGTAAATTAAGAAGACAGTTGAGTCAGTCGTTCACTTTTGAACCGAT